GGCGGGAGCTCAGGTAGCGGAGGGGCCTGATCCCCGCGCTCCACGCTTCAGCCTTAATCCGCCCCTGTTTCCATGGCAACAGACTGAGGTGTCGTAAGCATTGGATTCTGACCTCACAGCAGGAGTGGGGAAGGAGAAAGCGGGCGGGGAGGCAGGGGCGACAGCGGGGTGGGGGAAGGCCGGGGAGCGAAGCCCCGGGATGGACCGAGCCGCCGAGCTGGGGTGCTGATGGGCAGCCTTGCAGGTCAGACAGGTGGACCAGGAAACCACGCCTCAGACGCGCACAATAAAGCCGTCGTCAGGGCCCCGCCTGGGCTGGAAGACCCCCGAGGAGACCGAGTTGCCCCGTCGTGTCGGAATGATCACAAACTTGTGTGTGACTTGTACCCTCCACGTGGGCCGGTGCAGTGCGGGGAGGGAGGTGTGTGTGGGGGGGGACGGACGCTGGCTGCCTTTCACGGTGGCATCTTGGAGAAAACTCTTCACAGACACTCCTCGGTTGTCTGTTCGCTGCAGAAAAAGGTCCAAAAGTCATTTCAGCACTGGAGGGGGCTGTTGGGAGCTGAGCGCCCAGGCGCCTGCCCAGGCGGCCTGGGCCTGAAGCTGGGGAAACTTGCCCCCGCGGGGAAGGCCGCCATGTCTGGGCTGCAGGTCTGGGATGGAGATAATAGAGAGGCGCTGACATCTCATCTCCCTCTTGGTCTTTTGTCTTTTGGCAGTTTACGGTTAAAAATGAGCCACGAAGCAGCCCACGCACGTTATCGATATGGTTGAGGTGCCCATGGAGGCTTCCTTGCCCAGCCTTGCCACCCGGAGGCCCAGCTTGGGGTGAGCCCAGTGCATTCTGGGGGCCGCTCCCTCAGGGGGGAGGCTCTCTTACCCTGCTCAAGAAGTGGCCACTGGGGGCTTGGCAGTCACGTGTACTGGCCTCTCGGGCGGTTTTTCCCTCCTGCACGGCCTGCTTGCACCAGCAAAGAGGTTCCACCAGCAAAGAGGTTTCCACCTGGGTGAACCCGAGGGCCACAGGGCAGAGAAGCCCTTGGCTGCACTGGGACACTGAGCAAACGACTGTTGTCTCAGTTTTTTCCTGGCTAGTTTGGTCCCTTTGCCCCTGATCCTGAGGCACACGACAGGACACTCAGTCTCTGGGTGGATTTGAGTGTGTAACCAAAGCCAGAAGTGTGCCTGAGACGAATGCCAAGGGAGGCAGCTGATGAAGTGTCTGCTTCTAGAAGTGCCCTCCAAAGGCTCCAAGCCCCCCTTCCCCCCCAACCAAAAAAATAAGCCCTTGATTGAGCAGAGATAATGGATGGATGCTGTTACCCTATTGTCGGATGAAGAATCCCACACCTGTGCTTCTGGCCCTGATGGAGTTCAATTATGATAGAGAATAGAGTTTGGAGGATGGAGAAAGACTAGGTCCCCTGCCCTATGCATTTGTGTGTCCTGTGAGATTATAGGTCCACATGGTTAAGAGACTCCCCCATCCCCACTGCCCGACAAAGAGCAAGGGAAAGGCCTTGAACCATGAGATTCCGTTCTCTGGTGTCTGGCTGCCCTGCTGGTCTGGAGGTGCAGCCTGATGAACGGACCCTACTGGCCACAGCCCCTCTGCTTTGAAACAGAACAACCCTCAGTCCTTGAGGGACTCAAGCTGCTGACAGTGCAGGTAGCTGAAGGCCTCGGCAGCTGCCCTGCCTACTTCTCCATCTCCTGGCCTGGCAGAACCAGGGATATAAAAAAAGCTAGCCTCCGGTCAGAGATGAGAAGCAGACAGGGCAAGCGAGGCCCCAAGCCACCCAGTCATATGCAGGAAGGAAGGGCCGCCTGCTGGGGGTTTGCTGTGCCAAAAGCAGCCTGCTTAAGGTCAGGATCTATGGTTTTCATTTTTAGAGCTATAAAAACAGAATGCAAATCAACAGCCTCTGGGCTAATACCGAGCCCTTCCTTAAAGTTTTTGTCTTGTTAAGCAAGGAAATAGAGTGCCAAATAGGCTTTGTTAAGTGGCAATCTAATTAATAATTTAAGATCGTGTAGCTGTCTTTCATTAGAATTTATCTGTACATCAACCACAAAATCAGTCAAACACACTCATTTATAAGTTAATGCCATCCCTGAATAATTCAGCAAGAACTAGATTAAGGCCTTTAACCCAGTAAAATGCATTTTGAGCTCCTGGTTTCCATAGCCTGATGGGGTGGCCTGGTGACTGGATTGGATCTTCTCCCAGCTGGGGAGGGAAGGAGGGTGGGACTCTGGTGTCTTCAGGTGGCTGTTTGGCTTGGGAGTCAGTCTCCATGTGGCCAGGTGTGAGCCGGCTCCATCCCTGCCCCTCTCTGGGGCAGCCAGGAGCCTGAGCTGTGGGAATATGGACCTTCTTAGCCCCAGTGGAGAGAGGCAAAGAGCATGAAGGGCTAAGACCCTCCTCTGTTTTGTGGTGAGGATGTGTATGGCCCTTCTTGAGAGGCTGAGGGTTGGTTGCCCCCATCTATGCGCACAAGTGGAAGTTCAGCCCTCCCACTCCACGACTTTTGTCCCACCCAAGGACTGGGCCTGGTGGGCCCAAGCCCCCACCCCCAAACAGCCTCTTGACTTTGTAGCTTTTAGGTTTCTTCTAATAGGCCCCCACGTGGCATCAATGGTTTGCCCTTGGCCACTCACCTAAAGGTTGGTGGCTTCACCCCATGCAGTGGTGACACAGAAGAAAGGGGCCCTGCAGTCATCTTCCCTAAAGCTCACAGCCCCCAAAGACCTTAGAGGGCAGCTCTACCCTTGCTACACCTGGGGTCACCGCAGTTGCCATCAGCTGGACAGCAGTGGTTGGGTGGTGGCTTCCTTTGGCTTCTCCCATCCTCAAAGCTCCAGGTCTTTAGGCCAGAAAACAAAGGGTCCAGAGGGGGAACCTTAGGGGAGCGCCGAACAGAGACGGGGCATTTCCTCGCCACCCCCAGAAGGAAAGCAGTGCAGTGCAACCCTCACAAGCTCAGGGTAGAAAACCCGTTTGGAGTTCGGTTCCTGTGATGCCAGTGTGGGGCGAATTCCTGAGTGCAGCTTTCAGATCCGTGTTCCACAGAGAAGCAGCTGAGGACCCAAAGTCCAGGCATGGGAACATCCCGGGGCCCTCCCGGGACGGAACGGACCTGGGTTTGCCGCGTCTGCCTCAGCACGCCAACCCCAAGCCCTCTTGAGATGGAAGGGCTTTGTTGATGGAGATCTGGGCTCTCCGGGGTAGTGCGTTCACAGTACTCCCGGCTACTGGAAAGCTTGGAGGGTCAAGTCCACTCAGAGGCATGTCGGAAGGAAAGTCTGGCATTCTACTTGGGAAAAATCTGCCACTGGAAAGCCCGTGGGGCACTGTTCCCTCTGACACTGCTGGGACCTCCACGGGTTGGAACTGACTTCACAGCAAGTGTTGCCGGTGTGGTTTACGGCGAGCCAGGGGAAGGGCCAGGGCAGACAGTGGACTTAAGATGCCAGGAGATGTTCTTGACCAAGTTGGAAAAGAGGAACTCTCGTTAGGAAGAGGCAAAACTGAGGGAAGGGGTAGGTGGTGCCTACTTCCTGACCTGTGGCCGAGTTGTTAGCAGATGGGACTGAATCTGACTCTACACTTCGGCCACGTCTTCAGGGTCGGGAATGCAGACGGGAAGGAGGGGGCAGGCCTCATGAAGGATGCCAAGAGCGGATCTGTTTGGTACCATCTGCAATGAAGTAGTGGGAGAGGAGATGACAGGGAGGCCACAGATGGCCAGGGAAGCAAGATAGCTGGCAAACAGGGACAGAGCCTCCCGGGACGGCAGAAGGCAGGACCTCCACACAGATACCAGAAGGGGCCTTTTTCCTCGGGATGCACTGGCCGGGCCACGGTGGGTGGAACTAAGATGGAGAGAGGAGTGGGCCGGGGACCCCTAGGTGAAAGCCTTCAGTGCTGTGGTGACAGGACCCAGGACCAGGAGGACAGGCCGGGCTGCCTTGGCGCCCGCACTGGAGCAAGGAAAAGTCACCTTGGGGG